GTAGTAGTAGTAGTAGTAGTAGTAGGAGTAGTAGTAGTAGTAGTAGCAGTAGTAGGAGTAGGAGTAGGAGTAGGAGTAGGAGTAGGAGTAGGAGTAGGAGTAGGAGTAGGAGTAGTAGTAGTGGTAGTAGTAGCAGGAGTAGTAGTAGTAGTAGTCGTAGTAGTAGTAGTAGTAGTAGTAGTAGTAGTAGTAGTAGTCAAGCAACTATGATATGATGCCCTACAAAGTATTGAAATCGAGACTCGATTGGGGCTGTGGAAGGTACAGATTGCACAGAGGTAAACGGAATTCCCCACTCACTGTCTCTCTCTCTCTCCCGAATCACTATCTCGCTCTCCCTCTCTTCATTCATTCTCTCTGGTATGCTGGCTCTTTCCCGCAGCTAGATTGACACTGTATTCATTCAATGTCGCTCCATCCATTTAGTCAGTCAGGCTTTGCACGTTCTCTCGACGAGTGCCTCGCGGATCTGCAAGCTTCGCTCCACACCTGCACGCTTGCTGTGGAACTGCGACAACAACTCTCACTGCCAGCAGGTGCTTTGCGGAACCTACTCGGGCTCTTGCACATTTAGAGATGTCTTTGAGCTTAGAGATGGAACGGCCAATTGCAAGACACACAACAAAACCTGCCCGGTCACGAATGGCAGTGGCAAGCGAAGCTTATCTGCAATAAGCAAACATGCAAAACTCCCGAACATCATACCAGGTTGAAATGTAAGACTACTAGGTCTAGTCCGTTGGAGCGACTAGACAAACTGGCACAATAGGTGGTTCAGTGATGTCGTATACCGGTCAGTGGCAATTGTAGGACCTACAGAATCTACAGTTTTCTAGATGCACTTAGTTAGTGTTGGGCCAATGGGGCGGAGCAATGAAACCTGGTAGCCATAAAACAAACCTTCAATTCGCTCTCAACCCTCAAGCACCGAGCCCATGGACCCAATTGATTCCAACCTGATTTCAATCCAATTCCAATGCCCAGGAACCACCGTCAACATATCAGGCAAGTTGGCTGAAATTAAACAAATAATCGACTATGATAACATTCTGTGCTGACGATTAGGGAACTTGGAACCAGAACTTAGACTTTTTATCTTGACAGGACCCCCATGTACGCCGTTCTCGGCTATGGGAGCGAGATCCGGAAAGGATCATTGGGCTTTCGAAACTCACACTGCACACTTCGACGTGCAGAAGGGGTTGCTAACAGACTTGCTCGTGGTGGAAAACGTCCCCGAGTACAATGTGGAGTGTGTCAGACAGGCCCTTGGCCCAGCCTACAAGGTGCACTCCGTAAAAGTTGACCCCAGAGCATTTGGCCAACGGGCTGCAAGGGCACGTGTGTACGTAGTGGCATACCGGCGCAAAGCATTGAAATTCAGGGACGGAACTTCCTTGCACGGCATGCTTTCTTTGCTACGGCAGAAGCCAATCCTCAGCATCAGTGACTACTTTTGGAAGAAGCTTCCAACCATGTTGCTATCTGCGCCGAATGCAGCTTGTCTTAAGACTTGCGATCAATTTTCATAAGTTGTCGTTACATGCTTACTTGCGACCACTGGCTCACCCCTTACTCCTTCGCATTATTGC